AAATGGTTACTAGGTTGGTCAAATTGACCAAACCTCACAGTGAGTGTGCTTATGTAAGTGTGCATGTATAGGATTTCCTGGACAAAATTGCTAAGGATAATGTGATTACTAATTCACTAAAATTGGAGCAGTAAAACACTGGTCCCAACCTACAACTATTTATGATTTGTGGCCCGTTTTTCATAGACAACACCACTTTTAGCATAAAAACCAATTCATATTTAAGGTTGACTGAACAGGTATTTCAATTACTAAAAATGTGATTAATGCACTGGTTCTGACTTGTCTAAGACAAGTTAAGCTATTCATACTGACTACAGATGCCCGTGATTGTGACATATGAGCAGAGCAGTCACAGGTTTCATGATGGTGAGAAGCATGCAGTTGAATGCATTAGAATTCACTAATCATGGCTGAATGCACATTACTGCATACCAGTGAAAGCTTCTTGCTTTGTGAAGTATTAGTGTCATTACTAGTATGACAGAAAGAATACTATTAGACTGGACTACACAAAACTGAAGAAGTTTATGAATTTTAGACTTGAATACAATGTGATTACAAACTGAATAATGACACTGTAAAAATGCAGCTATAAAGTACAATACTTACTGGCACAGCAATCAGGTAAATTGTCATGCAAGTCAGTGAAAACTTGTCCATTTGTAAATGCTTATTTATGGGACAGATTGCAACTGTCTAGTCACTATCAGTGCCATAATGCCATACATAACAGACAATGTCAATAAAAAATATGGACATAAAGACTGATGGTTCATGAGCTTTAGGAGCACCTGTAAAACACAGATACGGTTTGGGTACTTCTTGCTGTTCAGCAGACTACAGCATGATCATCACAATCTGGTGTATGTGGCACACAATGATGTGCTGCATCATCAGTATGTACTGCACAAAGATGGTGTATATTACAACTAATGGCTTCTAAGACAAGTTTTTAACAAACTTGCATGATATGAAAATAGGATTACAGTGTGTGTTCTACAATACAGCCAACTCATGAAATGTTTTCTCCAACTACATGCAGACATTTTAACATGTATGCTGCAAAGACGAAAAGCTGAAACACAGCTTGGTAAAAAATAGCCCTAGATATTACAAAACTTTTCTTAAGTAGCCCTAAATATTATAAAATTCTTCTTTTATTCAGATGTTCGTACCTGATATGTGCTCATTGTAATCAGTGATTTTAAAAAGTTAGACCACAGATTATAAGTTTACTTGAAACTTCAATGCAGTTAAATTTTCTCGGAGAAGGTAGAGATTTCTGTGCATAGTAATTACAAGTTTAACTGTTTGGTTAGTTGTTGTTTTTTACATTACATTCCTTATAATCCTATCAATTACATTTGCACATAGCTGCAGTGGAAAGAAAGTGTAACACATGCATGACAATTTAACTGCCAACATTTGCAAAATTCTTTCCACCATGTTAATGCCAGCTGATTTCCTTAGAGCTTCCTTACTCCATAAATTGTGTCCAGCTTTGTATTGAGCAAAATCACACTAAACATCAACCGAATCCATGTTCAAGATATGCTCAACTATTTTCATAATCATTTCTTCAAGCTCCTCATCTTTCTCCAAGTTTGGCCTTTAAAACTGCTGGTTGGACTGAACACTGTAATCACCCACCATTTTTCAGTTGCTGATAAGGGCAACTGCTGGAAAAAGTCTTTATAGTACTGCCTCATCTTCATATAGCATTAGTTTGTTACCTTCAAGCTTTGTGATATCAAACGAGATTGGTTGTAACAAGTCCAATGTTCTATTCTATTGTAACCAAACAGCAATTCATCATCCAGTGTGTTTTTGTGAATGTAGGTAGTGGTGAGAAGGCTAACCTGTGGTCCTACCATGGTTATTTGCAAATTCTCCTTGATTTGAACTGTATTTTCAAGCATTTGTAGAATAAATAAGATAAAATCTTGAAGGGATGGTCCAAGCCCTCTAGAGGCTAGCCCCACTGATCTGATTAGGTAGGTTGTAGACAAAAAATTTGCTGTTTTAGAAATTTTTGAATTGTTATACTGAAAATTTTAGTGACCTTTTTAGCATATTATTAGTTTATATATGTGCATAATATACCATTAGCAATACTTTGAATGGTCAGATCCTCAATTGGGTATTCAATAGGCATGTTAATTATTTGGAAACCTTGTTAATTCCTACTATTAATTACTACCATATTTAATAGATTGTGAGTAGTACATTAGTATTTATTTTCACTTCGTATTTTTTATATTTGCCCTATTGTTTATTAATTTTAATGTTTTGGTTGTATTATAAGTGTTAATCTACTGCTCAATTCTTCTCAATGTTTTATAAGCTTTGTTGTTCTCCAATATCAAGACTTTACCTTAGTTTTACATATATATTAAAACCCCATGTTTCAGACTTCACTGAAGCTGTAATAAATACATTCACAAATGTTAGATTGGATGACATGTAAATATGTCTCATTTTCTCAACTGTGTTTATCATCACTACTGTATGCATTAACTATCTATTGGGTGTTTTGTTTTGGTCATTTTATTTGTATTACAGAAACTAAACCCCCTGTTTAAATTATTTAAGCTTCTAAAATTTTAAGAAAAGATGGAAATGGGGAAATGAAATTTTAACTTCAACAAGAATGGCATCCATTGTACATAAATTCCTTATATACAAGTATGACATAACTGCATTACAAGTTAAATGTGTAGTGAATCACAGAAATAAGATATAGTAACTGCATGAATCAAATTTTTATAGGGCAGATAATCTCAAAAAAATCCCTAAGTAAATGTTTTTAGTTCCTGATTATATGAAGGTGCACTTAACAATAAGCTCTCTTTATCTTGTATGCATAGTCAAAGACTAAATATAAAACAACAAAAATGTAGTGTGACACAACTTCTAATGTGACTTTTAAAAAAATCAATATAATGGCTTGGAACTTTTAAAAACATTTTTACCATTCCTCTTAGGATTAATTGCACTTTATTTGAACAATTTATATGTGGCTTATTGCCACATATGCCAGCTATAGTACCATGGACAACATGTTTATTGTATATTTCATTCATGGCAAACTCCTGACCATCTGAAAGTCTGATGCTGCAATGAGTAAACCTTGGCTGGAGAGGTATAGGAGAAATTTCTGAGGTAAAATATTCATACATTGGAATCATTAGTTAACTTAAGAGTCAAATACCACAGAATTTCAAAGAAGGATTCTTTAACATTTTCCAGGGAAATGGAAAAACTCATACGATAAAGCACATGGGTAGCAATGGGCTTTCAAAAACCGTACCTCATCTATGAAATGAAAGCGATGATTATAAAATACAATCCTATGATCCATAAAATCATTACTATGAACTTCAACATGTCACCTGATACTGTTAATAAAGTATTAAGCAAGAATTTGAGATCAAACTGGAATCACAGCCAATTATTTCACCAAATGTCAGTAAAGTACTTAGATACAGCTCCAATGTACTTTCTTTTTATGCCTGAACAAGGTCTTTGAAATTATAGTTACATATAGCAAAGGATTTGCGGAAACTATACCAGAAATGTGTGAACTACGATTGACCTTGCATCACTGATTGAAACTTGTTACATTGCAAATTGAAGTGTTGGGCAATAATGCATAATCATAGCCATCAGATTGTTATGACTGACAATGGAGGAATTAGTTCCAATGGCAGCATAGGACCTAGAACACTGCTCTTAAAAAGAGTGATCAACCTTAGTATCTTAAGATAGACAATATAGACAAAAGTTTATGAGATCATAGATCTCTATGTTTATTGCATTTGATTTCTTCTATATAAACAAGCACATAAACTACTAATTTGGTAAGGTGCTCAAAATGGTTGATGAAATTTGTATAAAAATTTACATCAGATACTATGTCAAGTCCAACTTAAGATTAAACTTTCTTAATTTATGCTCAAGTCCATTATCCAGGGACCAAACACACAATATTTGTCAAATTTCAATAAAACCTACAAGAGTTTTACAAATACACAACAGATTTATGCCTCTACAAAACATCCAAGTACAGCAAAAAGGGAAATTATTTATGTCATAAAGACATGAATGTCCAATGCACAAAGATTATTTATATAAATATTAATGAAATTCTATTGACAACTTTAGAAAAGTTGACAAAACAAAATGGGTTATATAATTTTTGAAAATGTACTTTTGTAGGGATAAATGTTAAACAGCTGAGAACCATCACTCATCAAACAACCTTCAAAAAACTGTGACAAAATTCTGTTGAAAATCACAGGAACACTCAATTAGCTCATTCAAAATAATAAAAAGATTTTCTCATCATATCACTTTAGACTAGTGGTTAACGTGTTGGGCTGCAGATGAAAGGCCCTAAGGTTTGAGAAATAATGCCATTGAATAAGCTATGTACTTTGGACATATTATAAGAGTGACAGTCATTCCCGTTACCCAGTTTAAAGAATTAGACCAAGCCATTTAGGTGGCTGGTGCTGCTTTACATTTGCAGTCAGTAATTCAAAATTAGGGACAGTTATACCTGAATCCTTCAGGTATCTAACCTGGCCATTTAGCCCCCCCCCCCCCCATACACATAAGATGCCATTCCAGTTGAATACTTCAGTGTCTTATTTATCACTATGCATAGATAGAATTAAATGGTCGATAAATCATTGCTACAAGAAACTGATAATGAGCAACATGTGTTAAGCAATACTTTTAGAATTTACTTGTCTTCTTATTAAATAGGTGTCGCATGCAGAAATAATATAAATAAAAACAAAATTATGAGTCTCCATATACCTTTGCTACTTATTAATTCAAATATGTTTCTTGTGCCACAAGAAGTTAACTATAATTCATTTTGACTACCTGTATTTGATTAGTGTTTCTGAAACTAAATTTAGAGCAATATCAAAATTTTAGGTGGAATTATATACTACAAATATCTGGAATAAAAGAAAAACAACATGTCATTACTTTTATATAAAGTCTTTATTTTAACAAAATAATCTCCTCAAAGAAAGGATGGTAACTGTTGGTCACTTTTGTGATCTTTTAAGCTACAGAAAAATGCAAGTCTTTCATATAATATTAAAAATAAAAATAAGAATTTCACTTCATTTCAGTTGCATCACTGGATACTTTATAACTTCAGATTCATTCCTTCAAAGAGGAAATTACAATTACAAACATACGTAGCAAAATAGGTTCTATAACTAAACTTTTTAAAACTTTTACATATGTGGCCGATGAGAACCAAGTGAAATATAAACGTATTAATGGTGATTTTAAAATGAGAAGGTCTACTTTTTTCTTTCATTAACATGCTTAGCACCTACATACCAAAGGTTAATTGGAATACATTTTGGTGTTTCAAGTAGCTGAGAATACTTTTTTTTTGTTTAACAAAGAAAGCCTATTACAATGTATCACCTGTTTTATGTAATCAAAAGGTACAACTGCATAACACTCATCATAATCTGATCACTTCATGTCCCTCAGCTTGAAGTCATTTTTACATTAAGTAAAACATCACTGAATAAAAACATTTAACATTTCTGGTCAGGAAGAGACATGGCTAAACCAATAGCCAAGCATTTCAAATTTCTACAAATCCAGTTAGTTGGAAAAATGAACAATTTTCAATAATGTTTCTCAGTAGAATAGAACCTGAGTAGTTCTACATTCTCTAGTGTTACATCAATTGAAAAGCTAATCTTAATGAATTTATTTCTTGAATCAAGTACTTTAATATGTGTGGAGAACAAACTATTTTACAGCTGAAGATAGGTTACTGATAACAGCAAGGGTAACCAACAGATGAAACAATGCATTATAATCATTATAAGTAAGAACAGTATACAGAATTAGATATTCTCATTACAGGGTTAATATATATTTTTGATCTAAGTAAGTAACTTGTTCTAATTGGAAGATAATAATTATAAATCTAGACCTTAACGACTTTCAGTAGCACTAGTTTTCTGTTATTAACCAAACTGAAGATTGGTTCTATAGTAAACAATGCTAGATATTATAAAAGTCTGTTAGAACTGGTCAGACTATCTAAGAGCATTGTGACAACAATTAAGATTGCAAGTTTAAAAGATTCTCAGTGTTATTGAAAATATTTTTAATACTGAAACAGTAAAATAATGTGTTTATTGAAACAAGAAGTTTTTTATTCATGCTTTTAGTACCCATATCAGCTGTCTACTATATATGAAGTTGTTTTTTTTACCTTCATTGTACACTTGCAAAGTTCTTTTTTAATAGATTTTGTTTAAATATTTCTACAAATATTATGCTCAAATGTTATTATATTCTATGTATGGTATAACTGTTGCTTTTACTGGTTTACCATCACTTATCAAAATATACAGTGAACATAGCAAAATACTAAATATTACATTCTACTTATTGTTATAAGAGTTTTTGAAATAAAATTACAGAAAATTACATTTCAACTGTAATTTTCATCCCAAAATTTGTTTAAAACAATTCTAGGTTCTTACATTTAAGTACTAAACCTCTGTTTGACCTTTTCATCTAAAACAAATCATCAACATATTCTACCTTCAAAACACCTAATTTTTAAAAATATATATATATCATTACCTTAAAATTTCAATTTCAAACATCTAATTATATTATAAGTAAATGTATGAAATTTTCTTAACAATTATCTTTCTTCATACAGTATACAATCTCTTTAGTATATACATCTTAACAGGAACAAGCAAATGCCATCAAGAAAGAACACTGATAAAATACCATTCTAAAAAATTAAAAATAATGTAATTATCACTTGTTTTAAAAACAGTTTAAATAACATAAGCTAAAATACAAACTATCATCTATTTTCCTTCACTTACAAATGATTCATATTTAACAAATTTTCTGAAAATAAGAATTAGTTTAAATTTCTGTACAAAATGCCAACACTCATATTTTTAAAGCAATTACAAAATTGGGTTTCCATAATATTTTTGAAGGATAAATAATATATTGTGATTGTTCAACATTTTATAAATGTAAATCACTTACAGCAACAGACCTTCATCAAAATTTCATCTCAAGAAACAATTATGATTTGACATTACTTTTATTTACTCTCACTAAGTGCCAAAATCTACTTTGATATTAACATCAGTAACAAATGCAGAAATGCCAAACAATTATTTGGTGGCTGAAACACAAGAAACAAAATCAAACCCCTTAAAATACATTACATTGGAGGTGGTCTATGGAACTGTGTTAAATACATACAAAAAATATCTTAATTTGAAGGAAAGTATTTTGTTTATGAATTAGTTATAACCTTTACAAAAATGTACTGCACACAACTTTTTCCTAAATGTACAGCAGTCATTTACAGCGAATTAACATTACAAAATATTGTTTCAACACAGACTTACAAATAATCCACAAACTGTATATGTAACCATCCAAGCACTTAAAAAATTAAAGCACCAACCTTAACCTGAGCTTGCTTTTATCTTTATGCTCTCAGCCAACACTTAAAGAGTCCAATCTATGTTTGGTACCATAGGGCATCTACTGCAAAAAAGATTATTTAGACTACATCAGGATAACAAGGACAAACAAATACTAAGTTATGTCATGATACGAAAGACAGACCACTATTACTAGGTAATCTAGTCCAGGTTATATCTTGATAACAAAGACAGACCATTGCTACTAGGTAGTCTAGTCCAGGTTATATCTTGATAACAAAGATAGACCATTGCTACTAGGTAGTTTAGTCCAGGTTATATCTTGATAACAAAGACAGACCATTGCTACTAGGTAGTCTAGTCCAGGTTATATCTTAATAACAAAGACAGACCATTGCTACTAGGTAGTCTAGTCCAGGTTATATCTTGATAACAAAGATAGACCATTGCTACTAGGTAGTCTAGTCCAGGCTATGTCATGATAACAAAGATAGACCATTGCTACTAGGTAGTCTAGTCCAGGCTATGTCATGATAACAAAGACAAACCACTGCCATAAACTAGTTGAGTCCAGGTTATGTCATGATAACAAAGACAAACCACTGCCATAAGCTAATCTAGTCCAGGTTATGTCATGATAACAAAGGCAAACCACTGCCATAAGCTAATCTAGTCCAGGTTATGTCATGATAACAAAGATCACTGTCAACATGACCTATTTCATAGTATCACAAAATCAACATCATAAGGATGTTAAAGCTTATGTCATGATAGAAAACATAAAACAATTTTGAAAGTATTCATGTTAGAAACTTAAATTCATAGCCGTATTTTTATCAGTATATTGTACACTTTTTCATACACTTGCACTTACACAATCATAATATGTCAGCTATCAATCAATACCACCGAGAATTAGAGGAGTTTAAAAACTGGAGAAAACATCATTCTAGGAAAGACCTCTGAACAAACTAATGTGATTAATAAAAGCTATATTTTGTAAATATGCACAGAACTCTGTAATTTATAAGAAAGAAGATCAAGGAAGTTGAAAAAGACACTGAGATCTAGGAAAGTGAAGGTTTGGAGGATACCATGGCACCATGATTTAGAAGTTTTTATAAAAAAAAATTAAACTTTATGTCATTTATTTACCGGCATAAGCATACAAACACACATACATAGATCTCACAAGCAAGAACGAGTGCTATTTTAGCAGTCACAATGAAGATGATTTTGGTATACTGTACACAACTTGATTTTCTTTTATTTGAAATTAGATGGCTTTCATGACATAGAGCTACATGGTATACGAGGAGAGCCCATCTGAGTTAGAACTCTGTCCAACCATTGTAGTGGCCCATTCAGGTGTAGCTCAATCCAACATGGTGTAGAAGTGACAGTCTGTCGCCGATATTCTGCACCCCAGCCCTTCACAAAACTCATTCGAATTGTGCACATCCTAGTAAGTTGATAAACAGCTTCAAATCCCTGGCTGACTGACTGTGCCAGTAATGCTGCAAACTCTTGATTGTTGAAAATCTTCAAGTTGCATCCTACCAGATGGAAGAGAGCCTTAATAATGCATCAATACACTTTTCGTATGGGAATTGCAACAAACACTATGCACTTTCACACCTTTAGCCGAAAGGTTCAAAATGCAAAAATTCTAAGAAAGACAAGAAAATAACACATGTATATAATTATTTTTATTTCAGTTTAAAAATAAAAAACAAAACATTCTAAAGCATAGCAAAGGTTTCATGGTCACACCCAATATTTTCTCAATGAGTCTAAAAATATATTTTTACATGCATTTTAAGCATGTTTAAATGACAAGACAGCACAAACAGAGGCCATTGTAATTTTTAATTTCACTACAATATACAGTTCTTGCTAGTCACAGCAAGTTATTTCTTCTTTCTTTATCCTACTTTTAAGTTCAACAACAACATAGATGTAATTCTCTTTAATATCGTACAGTAAAAAAATACATCATATTACAAAGTTTTAATACATTCACTTTTAAATCACATCAAAACAGAATTTATGTTGAAATTGTACATTATATGCTGAGTTCCATGGGATGAACATGTAGTTTCTCTATCAAGAACAATTCAGGCAGACAATCTCATCTAATTTATTAACCATGTGCAATTTTTTTAAGGAAGTGCTAGCTTATTTGAATTTTAAAGTTGTCACTGACTTTATAGTCTGTAGAATTGTTAAGTTAACAATGGCTCTTGTTTAGTTTTACTATGTAACACTTGCATAAATTGCAATGCTTTAACATTATGATTTTAGTATACAAGTTCTAAAATATGTCAAAGCATTTCTTGTTCAACAGATAGTGTTTGCTTAGATTGTTATTTCACAGTAAAAAATAACCTTGTGCTTAGAAAAAAATAAATTTTAAAACTACAAATTCATACTTTATAGTATATGTTTAATAGAGTTTGTAGCATAATATTACAAAGGAAAATCTCTTTTTTATTTTTTTAATTCCTTCCATGATGCAGACCTACTATTAAAACTGGTTAAGACATTAAAAGGTTCTTCTGAGAGTTTTGGAGCTTTTTTGTTTTAACTTAAATCTGCAATTTGTTTAAAGTTTTAAGATAATTTTTTCCTTTCGTTTAAGTGAAGATATTTTTTTTTTTACTATTGGAAGTTATCTGCACTACCTTTTGATATGCAAGTAATTATTTCACAAGATCAAAATATAAATGAACTTTGAGGGGTAAAAAAAAAAGTGTCAGACACAATAACTAATATATATATATATTGAGGAGAACAGCAGTTATGTAAAAAAAAACTAAATATATAGTTCTCAAGCACAATATGAACTGCTTAACACCCATCATTATATGAACATGCTAGACAATAATTGGATGATATGCAATTAACATCACATAGAAGTTGTAAAAAGTAAAAATAACCTAACACTTCATGAAATTATGGAAAAGGACTACTAATTACTGATAGTGAATATTTGAAAATAGAGTTTTGTTCATCTTATCAAACTGCCTGTTATGGAATACATTTGAAGAACTTATTGATACTGACCAGGTGGGATTTTACAAACGGTTGCTGGGTGCCAGCCATATCTCTGGTTACAGTTAGGGCTCTGAACAAAGATGCTGCTGTCACTCAGACACTCTGCAAATACTTCTCCTCCAATGTAGTACAGGCGAACTCCTCGACCTGTTCAAATCCAAATATTTAACCTCAGTATTTGTAATTCCATAAAATACAAAATACCTCAAATGAACCATTTGTAAATTTCATTTGTCATAAGTTAACATATTTTAAAGTTAAAAAATCAAAAGAATATTTTTCTTCAATTGAAAAAAAACGTACATATTAGAAGACAATTGTGATCATGAAAACTAATCCAATAGTCTGTATTTAAACATATAACAGTTTATATTGTTTGTTTAGTTGTTAAGCCCAAAGTTACACAATAGACTATCTGTGCTGTGTCCACCATGGATATTGAAACCCAGTTTTTAGGCTTCAAATTTACCCTAAGCCACTGTGGAGGAAGAGTTAAACTTGGTTATGACCATATTAGTATAATCTAAATGCTACTTTAATAACTTTCAAGTCAATGAAATGGATTGTCCAATTCATTAAAGAAAGTCCCTAGTAATCAAATATACAAAGATATAAAATATGATGTAAATTAAAAAATTTCTCTGTGAAATATTTCAGGTTTCATAAATGTATTTTATTATTTTGCTTATTTCAATAAAAAAACGATTATATAGAAAGGTGACAAAATAACCTGAAAGTAAAATTATCATAAATTAATAACTACGTTAGCCAAATATGAAGGTTAACTGCACTTTATAATTAGTGTGTTCCAAATCCTATTCCACAACTGAAAGTACTACCTCCATCATTAATTGTGCTCAATCCGACGGCTGTTATCACACACTATCTGACAGTGCAATTCCAAAGTTTCGTAGACAGTACCATATATTTCTTACCCCTTTAATTAATACATACATTTTTCAAAGTCAATATTTTTTTAAGTTTAGTTCGGACACAGAAAGTTACTTAACCCATTAACTGCGAATGACGAAAATTACCATTTTATTGTGATTGATGGCAACTAAGTTTTATCTGTGAGTCAGAAAACGGTAACTGAGCTGCTCCTGCTGCAGTTAATGGGTTAAGTAAAAACTTAACTTTTCTTTACTCTAACTGCACACGAACCAGTAGCACTCTCATTCATCATTAAACAAGAAAAATATCTGTAACTTCACTCATGATGTCCTAAAATAGACAGCTCTCTTTTCTTTCAGTTAATAACTTATAGACCCAGGACTTCCCCACTCCTGTAGAGGGTAGACTAGTGTCATACAAGTGATGTGCATGCTGAGAGTAGCCTAGCTTTATGCTAGTGTTTTGGTACTTAAAGAATAAGCTCTTCCTGTTAAGCAGGCTATTTCTATTCAGGCAGATTTAACTTTAGGTTGTAGATTAGCACTGTTAAGATGTTTTAGAGCATTTGTTTGATGAACATTGTCAGTTTTAACATAGAGGGATTTTTGTTTTAAGGTCTTTCTCATGGCTTACAGGGGAGGATCATGCAGAAACCATAAGATAGAACTAATAAAGGTTTCTTTTCCAACTCTCTCTCTCTCTCTCTCTTCAGTTCCACACCCTCAAAGTAAACACTTGGCCATGTTTTGATTGTTTTTGTAATAAAAGTTTTGTTTGTGCATTCTTGTGTTCTAAGTCCTCCTTTGTGGCAAACTTAGTTGAAGTTCAAAGAAAAAAACTAATACTCTGCAATACAGTATTAGTTGAACCTTCTGTAGAGCAGATCCTACCCATTTACTCTGAGTGAAATCAGTGGAAGTGAAAATATCACAGTTGTAACAACTTTTATAAATCACAGTGTATATTGTTAATACTTCTCTTATTTTATGTGCATATTGGATCCAAAGATTTCATTTAAGCAAATTAAATACTCCAAAGTCCACAAGTGGGTATTTGGTTGTTTCACAGTTATGTCAGAGCAGATGGCATGAGCACCAGTTTCATTTTCCATTATCCACCCCAACTCCCCCCAAAAAAGCTGCTCTGCATGTCATGACACTTTATTCTGATATAGACATACATTTTTGCCATTCTGTTCATACAATGCAGAAATTCAATCTTGCATAAATGATATCAGCACAGCTTCTCACAATAACTAGAGTTCACCTTTGCTTTACTGTCCTTTTTGTGAAGTTCAAATTTTTCATTATATAAGTAACTTACAGCAACCATGAAACCCCACAAAAAATTACTTTACATTTTTGTACCATGTTGGGAAGTTCAACCTTTTCTGTCTTTACTAAATCTTCCATTTCTTTACCAGTTGTTCAAATACACCAAAGCTTTGTTGAATGTTGAAACAAACTTCCATCTCTGATATAAGGCATTTTTTGTAAAGTTCTCTGCAGTTCTTTTTTGTTATCAAACTATCAAGAGTGTGTCTTCCTATATCCTAAAATGTTGTTTTAATGCTATATATCTGAATATCATTATTCTCCACTTTAAAGATATTGAACATTTTTAAAAGCTTGTCATTGGTATAAATAGCCTTACAACACTTTAATATTAATGATAATTAATTCATTTACTTGATGCTTATGCCTTTATCCAAAATGATTCATAGGATTATTTAATCATTAAAATACAGTTCGATACATATACAATGTTATACAAAGACATAAAATAGCAATCGTTACATAACATAAAAAAATTAAAAGTATATAAAGATATATATATCTCAAACTTTGGGAAACTATTATGGTAATAATAATACATTCAGTTTAAACTTTCTCAAATAGAATTTCAACATACCTACAAAATAATTACAATAAACAAAATGGGGAACTTTCACTTTAGTCTTTCACCTATTTTTAGGACAAACAACTTAAACTTTTTTCCGGCTGCCATTTTTCTCTTGGTAGCTTTACCAACATAGTAACACTAACTAGGACTGGAAAAATGAGGGCAGAGTTGATGTTCATTTTGCAAGTGATTAGTTAACATGTGGGCTAGCTAGCTACACTCACACCATCTGGCCTCTATAATGTAGTTTTGCAACAGTGTGGTTAAAAATACAATGCCCAAGTGGTTGTTCACTGCACTGGAGGTAATGATAAAATAGAAATCTCATAACCTTCAAATTTCTCCTAATTGTCCATGATTAACATAAATCTTAGGCCTACTAACTTCTAATGCTTTGCTAACTTTTACTACTTAAACCATAACTTTTTCTAATGAAATATATTTTTAGTATAGGGTGGCCATAAGTAGTAGAGTGCCATAATCTATGTCAACACAGATATTGTGGTCTACTTTCTAACCAACTTGAGCATCTTTTAACTTTTGTAAAATAAAAACACTTGCATGTAATCAAAATGAGTTTCATATTCAAACGTAATAGAAAACATGACACAGAAGATTTATGCATATAAATAGGATATATATATATATATACACACATATTTATTTATTTAACATTTAATGCATATTATTTTAATTATGACACAATTACTGTTAATTTTAGAGAATAATAATGTTGTGCTAGTGGGAAGAACAATAACAAGCAATGATTTTCTAGTGGCTTCAGATCCAAGGATTATCTCTAGGTTTTTTCCTAGATACCAGTTTAAAAACTTTATCAGTGATAGCAACAGTCATGATGGGGGCACTCTTTAGGTAGTTTTACACCATAAAAAGTTAATTTCTCGTACCATCTTAAGTCTCAAAAAGGGATACTTTCAAGTACATGTAGATAAACAGTGTAATTCATTTTTTACAAATTTGTTGCTTTAACCTACTTCATCAGAAAATATAAATACCTATAATATACTAACAATACAATCATTTTAGTTTCAATCACCACCAATCCATCAGAGTTGATATCTTTACAGCAGAGCCAATATCTACTCATAAGCAATCACCATTATTTCATTTCTTTCTCTTATCCTTCAAAGCAGGTTAAGTCTTCTAAGTATTGCGCTTCTTCTCCTAGTATCTCCCTTATTCTTGGTTCACATTTAACTCTCATCCACCTTTAAAATTCTAATATTAAATGTTACATCATTCATTTATTTTCTTGGCATAAATCATGTAGCTTTACCTTCTTTTGGTCAATATTTATTTATTTTACCCACCATAAATCTTGTAATGGCTATTTGATTCCTTCTGCTAAATGATAACTTTTAAATAGGTTGTCTCTATCTCTTCTTTTTGAATTTCTTTATAAACTTCATTATATTTTTAGTCTTTTATATTTTCTATTAATCATCTAAGTATTTCCTCTAATCAATTACTCACTATGAATGTTACATCTTGTCCACTAGCTTTTATATTACAGAGTTCTCTATGAAAGCAACCTAGTTCCTGTACTGCCTTCATTATATCTTCTCTTATTTTTCATTATTTTCATTGTACTTGTAACCAGCATTGCTCTATTCATGTCTTTCATTCTGCCTTTGTAACTTTGTCTCATAGATCACATCAATTTTAATTAATGCATCAAATATTTTAACCATTATTTTGAGGTTGTCTGTGAACATCATTTCTCCTTTGCTTCAAACTGAATTCACTGCCACCCTAACTCTCATCATTATGTATTACATGTATGTTATTTATAACTTTATTTTCATATGAAAATTTTGAAAATATAAACATGTAGATATTTATTTGGAATGAACATTTAATTTTCATGTAAGTCCCTGGAAAGAGTTCTAATAGCTCCAAAGATTTCTTTGAGCACCAATTTCAAAGGTCTAAATATAGATTGTTTTTAAGCATCAATTTTTAAATTGATTCAATGTAACTTGAAATTTTCCAAAACTCTTCTCATCCATATCTCAGGAGAGAAATTTAAATATTTTCTAAATCTAGAAATTGAATTTAGTTCTGTATGATGATTCACATACCTATACCAATTTTCATGTAAATTTGTGCAAGCAATCCTGAAAGCTCCTACCCCCCCTGATCCCCGATATAAATTTCAAAAACCTATAAGTATATACCTGTTTTCAATGATCCCTTACATGGCCATGATAGTTTTTATGTAAATTCACAGATCAAGCCAAAATCTTTTAGAACTCTTTATAAGGGCTCTTCATTTTAAAATTTTAAATCTGAATTTACATTTTTTTAAATGGCTCCTTATATGTAAATAAAAAATGTTCAAATAAACAAGTTTAACAAAATCTGAAAGTCCCCAAAGCTCATGTATAAAAAGGTTGCATTAAATACCAGACTTCACAAAAAACATTTATACTTGCATATTTTTAAGAATATGCAGTTTAGTCAAGTCAGTTGTCTTCTTTTTTGTCAATGCATGCAAAGCTGCAAGTTGCATCACATTCAATAGGCAATGTAATGAAAGAGTTGTATTTAAAGACAGTACATCAACTTGTATCAGACTGATTATACACACTCATCACGTCAACCCAAACTATTTACATACAGTACGGAACTTTTGAGGAATCATGCAGCTACTAGGAAAATGTTAGTTTCTTATGATTTAAACACATTTGAAGTAAAATTATTTATGTCACAAAATAAAATATTGAAACAAAGAAAATGATGACACAATTGAGGAATCATATAGCTATATATAAAGGTATTTGTTTCTCATACATATAAAACCTTATGAAGCAAAAAAAAACATATGCTATAATAGTATTATTGATCCAACCATTGTTAGTTGTAAAAGTTCAAATAAAGCAGTTTCCATATCTAAACCATTCTCTGACAAAAGTCTGTGTGTGTTTATATGTGTATTTATAGCTGATAAACCACTGGAATGATTCTCACTAAACCTGTCATGTACACTTAAAGCCTTCTGAGGAGTATCACTAGAGGGGTTCAATGTTTCAATTTCAACGAACTACTACTGTAATTTTGTGAATGGTTCAAAAATTCAAAGTAGTCACACCATTGGATTTTTTTGTTTCAGTGAAACTTTAGGCAGAATAGATATACAAGTCTGAGAAATCTAAGACTGCAGTCCATTAAAGTTTTGAAACCTACTATTAGAAATTTTCAACTATGAATAAGAAAAATACTTTTTTTTTATATATTATATTACTCATTGCTTTACAGAATTCAAAAGAACAAAGACAATTTCATATACATTTTGACCATGCTTTTGCCAGTAAATGTCTTTTCTTTTCCTCAGTTTTGTAATTATGGAATTTCAACAAAGTCCCAACAGTTTCAAGTATTAATTACATTCATCACTTTATTTCCATACACTCTGCAAATGTTAATAATTTTCTACACTGAAAATATGTTTCTGATAGATACCTCTTCTCACAAAATAGCTTTCCTCAATTTGTACTTCTCTCTGTGTCCACAAATTTTTGCTCACCACTAGCCTTTATGCTCCCTCCTACCCCCACATGGTATAGCTGCATTGTAGCATGCAAGTAAGCATGTGACAACCCTCTACCAATAGGAGTGTGACACACCCTCTTAGTGCAGCTGACTCACTCTATGCAGTAGAACCCAATCTTCACTTCAAGATTAGGCACTAAAAATATACTGGAATTGGAGAGGATAGGTGAGAAGTGTAAAATGAGGTAAGTATCTATCAAACATATTTTCAGTGTAGGAAAATATTAACATCTGATACGCTAACTTACCTCTTCTCACAAAATAGCTAGAATCTCATATTGAGCAGGTGGATGGACCAGTGTTAAAGTTACCTAGAAGAGTCCCCTTAAACAAGCATCTCAAGAGTACCCAAGGAGTGTGCCATCTCAATGTAGACGAAACACACTCGTGGAAGACTGCACCACATCTGAACCAGGTATACTATTTGCCCTTGATGACAGCAGGGAGAGGGAGCAATCCCCTTTTACTTTACTCTTGTTAGTCCATGAGTGTATGGTCCAGGACGAATATATACTGCAAGAAAATATCTACAAGCAGTCCTGCGGAACATCCCATCTCACCCCAACAGTGGGCATTTTTTATTTTATTGGCTGTACAGTGCAGATTTAAGAAAATGTATACCTAGACAGGCATCACTCACCACAAAAATGGGCTTCAATATAGAAGTGTGAAATAGTCTTTGGAGGGGAAAAGATAGAAAGATACCCACTCACAAGTGAACCAACAAGTGAAGGATGGCAACAGGAAGTAAATGATATCTGTCCGAGAAGGAAACTGACAAATGATGGAGGTAACGTGACACAAATGTATGAGGAGTGGTCCACATGCTGGTCTGGACAATCTCCTCCAAACATCAATGAAAACAAGCAGCCAAAGACATGGTGAAGTGGCAAATCTGATGTGAGGAGACATGGAAAAGATGAAGAGGAACAGGTGATAGGTACAAATTGCCTAACCCAGCCATTCAGGGTAATAACAGAAAGGTCATAGGAAGTTAAAGGATTCCAGTGTATTAACTATTGGGAATGGAAACCACGGAAGGGAGCCGTGCAAGCCTCATAATACCTCAGCACCCTAACCGGACAACAGTTAGGGTCAGTAATGGGAATATAGATGGGAAGTTGAAGGAAGAGAAATAGAAGTGAAGGCAACATTACATTCATGAGCAGCAGAAATTTTAGGGAAGAAGGTACAATCAGGATAAAGGGGAACATAAGTTTTGTGGTCAAGGATGCGAGACCTCAAGGGCAAACACATCCAACCATTGACAGCCACAGACCAACAGGAAGAGGAAAAAGGTTCAACTACGAGACATTATGATGTAATAATACTCACACAGGGAAAAAACTTGGAGGTTTCGAGAAAGATGATGTCAACAATACTACAATTGAACTACACATACAACGTACAACTCTTTCTGAGTTACTTAACAAAATTGGTCTAATTGTCTTAACTATTGCCTTTAAAATAATTACTTTTAACACTTGTTATGAAAACTAAATAAAGATTAAATATTAAATCACTAAATAATAACTCTTACACTAAACAGTCTTGAGTATCCAACAATGTAGGACAACATTAAGATTCCAATCTGGTAAGGTTGTGGATCAAGGTGCAAGATAAAGATAAAAGGAACAAAACAGGTGGGAAATAACAGGAGAGGAAAGGACATAGTGGAAATGGAAAAACTGATATGGAGAGTCAACTTGACTAACAACCAATGGCCTCAGATCTCTTGGCCATTGCAATAAACCACCCAGCCAAACAAGGAAGCATGTGTAAAAAGATGGAGAATGAAGAGGGACATCAGCTATTGTGTTGTCCCTGTCCTGTCATCTGGCAAAATCAGCTTAGAATGAAGGGAAACCAGTTAATCCAAGGGATCCCTGGTGAGGTTCCATAGATTTTGAAGTACCCACTAAAGAGATCTCATGTGAGCCTGGCCAAAGGGAATAAGGGCCTCCAAGGAAGCCCAAGTCCCCAAAAGAGAAAACTTCTCACAAAGACATAATAGGTGAGGATTGAGCCTTTCGAATCAGCTCCATGAAATGCAATCGATGGGGAGAAGGTTGGGCCCAACTAAGATGGAAATTGAAGAATACCCCAAGATGAATGAGGTATTCAATATATTGATATTATAATTTTTAAATAACTAGCTACCAGTTGATTTTCCTTCTATTAGTAAACTCAAGATATTAAGCCTTTAAATACAGATTCTAATTGTTTCCACTTTATCTGTTGATTATTGATAATCAAAGAAAATTTCACAATAGAGTAATGAAAAAGGGAGAGGGTTTGACTTAACCCATTAACTGCTGCAGGAGCAGCTCAGTTGCCATTTTCTGTCTCACAGATAAAACTGAGTTGCCATCAATCACAATAAAATGGTAATTATCGTCATTCTCATAGAGTTATAGTTATATATGTGCGAATGACAGAAATATCTGTCAGTCACAGTTAATGGGTTAACGAAGGTCTACACTTTCATAATTCTATCGATTCAATTACATCACACAATTTTATGATAAGAACTATTTTAAGCACACACACACACATACCTTCACATATCAATAACTAAGGTTAGTTATTGAAATTTTTCAATTTCAGTCAATATTTATTGTGAATGACAGCTGCTATCACAAGGAATTTAAATTCAGTACCTCACATGATTACTACACCATCTTTTAACTCCTCTCTGTATGGTTATATTTCATGGAACACATTTTCTCTTTTCAATATATGAAGAAATAATTTTTACATAACTAGTGAAAAACAGAATTACATAATTTATTAAAAATGTTTTAGAAATTGTTGAAAAGAAGAAGAAGAAAAATTGAGTTGCCTACAGGACACTTCTTAGTATTCACACTATACTAGCAGCTCTTTATAATTAGAAACTTATTTTTTTACTGGCATCAGTAAACTATGTCATTAATTATTTTCTCTGTCAACACAAGTGAAAGACCTTATCAAGCATAAAAAGAAAATTTTACTAATGAAAAATATTCTATAACCAAGTAGTTTTCCATTATAAAATTTAGTCGAGAGGCATGCCTTTGAAACATCTGGATGGATAATTAAATAATTCATCAATGGGCAAGCCTGTAAAATGCCTGAATCAATGCATAAAAACTCACCAATATGTCTTCTTGTTTGTTCAACCACAGGATTCCTGTTAACATTGGACAAGAGTCCCAAACAGAAACGTTCTGAGCTTGAGGGATCAGTAAATCCATCTACAGTCAAAGAAGGCTGGGAAGCATGAAAAGTTTCTCCAACACGAGTATTCAGCTCATAATATGAAATAGAGCACCAGAAAGCTGGTTCAGTATAGGTGACTGGCTGAACATCTAAAATAAAATCAGTCATAAATGTTCTAATTACAGTAGGAAGTTAAACATTTATTTCCTGTTGCACAGAAAAGAATAAAAAATGAAATTAGTTAAATCAAAGTTTCCTATTTTTCAAAGCATTTATCAAAAAAATACTTGATAGATAATTGGTCATGAGATCAATGAAATTGAATACATATTGGACAGATTCATAATATAACTTGCATATGCTGTATTGATAAATTTTATTATTGCAGTCCAATAAACAATTGTTTTTCTCACCATCAAAACACTATAAACATTATTCCTTGGCAGCTGGTATATATGTATAATTTAGTGATTTAAATTGACACCTCTGTCTTAAAGCATACTGAAATTCTTTATTAAGGATTTACCAAGCGAGTTAGAAAAAGAAAGTTCATTTGCAATTTATTAAAGTAATAAAAAAACATTTTGTGATGTAGGAATGACAGTACCAAAAATAATGCAAACAAGAATATAAGGACAATACAGCTATACATAGATCATTCCTACATAATTCTGAATATTGAAATTGAATGTTACACTGGTAGCGTACATCCGCACATTGTCTTGATACTGGTATACATGAAAAAATTCATTCAACACATGGATTGAAAAAATTAGAGGAAACATTGATTGTAATTATTATTAATTTCACTTAAGTCATTTACAAATAAGATTTTCAGGTAAGAATTAATAACACAACATTACTTTAACTGTTTCTTTGTTTTTATTGTATGTATTTATTAATTTCTTTTATTATCACTATGCTATTAAATTTACTATCATTCACAAGAACTGGCAAACCATCAAGCTTGTCTTCTTGCTCCTAGAGTGAGTCATGTAACAACAGTGTCAACAGGAGAAAACTACATTAGTAATTTTAAAAACTTGTTAAAGAAAAACAGAATAATTATACTCTTTTTTTTACACAACTTTACTAAAGAATTTGAGAATGAATAGCTTATAAGTCTTAGTTAACTCTCTTGCAACAAGGTCAGTCAACTGACCTCTTGACCACTCTTGTACTCATTATAGTTCCTACTATAGCTTTTAATACACTTTGTATAGCTTCACAAAATCAGGCAGACTTTTAGTAAACATTACAAGTCTTTTGTACACAAAAAAACAGATTTTTTTAATGAAATATTTTTACTAAAGACATGTCCATGAATATAGAGTATTTCTTTATACTAATTCGAGTGCTAAGTGATTTCCACGTTAAGATTAAAAATACTTTTCATCTCAAAATTTCAAATTTTATTTGAGGAATCTCTAAAACTTTCTAAATAAATTTTAAACGTTTTTTTTCAGTATATTTTTATATTTTATCTGTTATTTTCCTTACCCTAACTTTATACAAAGTTAGTCAATTTGACTGACCTTGTAACCAGCAAAAAAAATTGAAATAAATCTAAATTACCCTTTTTCCTTTCTAGAATGACTTCAAATTCTAATATCAAACTACATTTGTTTATCCTAAATAGCTTTACACTCATTTCAGTGTACATCTAATTATACTCAAATTTAATTGCTTTATTGCCCTATGAGTCCTGTCTAACTACTATTCACATAATTATAAGTTGTAAATCACTTGGCGAACATGCAGCTCATATTACTCTGTTGAATTACATTATGCACAAGCTATTCAGCTATTTGTGAGCTGCTCTCATTACTATTTCACACAATCTATCCATAACTAACAAAGTTCCTATTTTTACATTTTAGCTACTTTTATAAAAATAAATAAAGAATACATATGAAAAACAAGGACAGAAAGTATTTACCTGGGTCTTTTTTTTTTTGCTGCCAACTGTTATAACACTTAACTCTAATTTATTTTTTATATACTAATGGTAGTACTGCACTAAATTTTTTATTTAATTGAATAATGCATCATAGAAAACAGAATAATAACATGCAAAAAACAGACAATGTCCCATATGTATCACAATGTTTCTGGCTTTCTAACTATGCAACAAAAGCCATTAAAACTTCACCTAAGCTTATTGATTTGTTTCCTGTTGGAATCAAGCTTGAACTTGAAGTGAAATTGACAATTATCTTTACTGAAAATAATGTAGTATATCATTTGACAGGTGAAAACTTTGGCTTTCTATTGGTTATAAATACTATAGCACTGAACATCAAGAGACCTATTGGCAATTTCTGAAAGAGAGGATGAAACAGGTGGGCATGGCAAAAGGGGTCTGGTTCTCTATTTCATGGCTCTGTAACCAAATAAGATTGAAGGCTATGAATATTATGCTTTGTCTGAGCAATGATGATATTATAATGAATAATTTACATTAAATTTCATACTTCTTGGAGTGGTGGTAAATAAATTCATAAAAGGGGATGTCTAGAGAGCAAATCTCACAATTCTCACACTGAGAGAACTTCTAGCTTTTTTATATTATCTTACAAAAGTAAGAACCTTAAACTTGTATGCTGTTAAGATATGGATTATTAGCTATGTTTTTATGCTATATTCTTTGGTATACCATAAAAAGAAAGTAGTTTAATTAAATTTTGAATATAACTCACTGACATGTGCAGAAAAGATGCCCATGGAGAGAGGGTTAACAACTTGTGCTTTTAAAATGTACAAAAAGACAGAAATTAGAAAGTTGTATAAAATTTGCTTTCTCACAGTAATCAAAAAGTTGTAGATGACATGTAATTCAACTTTAAGCATTTTTAAAATAAAGTTACTGTGAATAATCAATATGGTAAAAAATTTTCATAAACTTATTTCCAACTTACCAAGTGGAGGGCTTGGTGATGACAGAATGCTTGAATCTATAAAATATATAAATAATAATCATAAAAAGAGCTTAAGTTAAAAACTCATTTACAAACACAACAATTTTTTTAAATATGAAATGTCAAAAAAATGGATTAAGAAAATCACTTAAGCATTACATAAGGGGTTATTTAAATTCACAAATATACTCA